CCTTTCTTGCCCTTGGAGCCAAAATAAATGGCGATTGATTCAACCTGTCAGCATTCCTCCTTAATAGTTTTGCGTAGAATTTAAAAAGTATTCCGCTTCAGTGTTAAAGCAAACCCATCAGTCGTCATAAATGTTTAATAGAAAATGCTTTTACCCTTATAAAAAGGCGAAACCATAATGGTTCTGGGGCAGGTGCATTTAACATTTTAGCTCTATTCTTTATAAACGTATGTTTTGGGGGTTTTTTTAAATTATTTTTGTATGCTACATTTTGTTTAGTAAACATTTAATACCAGGTATATCAATGGCCAAGGAATAAAAAAGCATGATGGGATTAGTAAACAGAACAGGTAGGCGAGGGGTAGGGGGATAGACACTGCTCTGACTCATTCAGCTTGAGCCCTTTATACATTGCATGACAATAAGCCTAGAGCGCCACCTGCTGGCTGCAACGAAATAAAGGAATGCTCCACTGCAATAGTTTCTATTTCGCTAACCTTACAGGTTAACGTATAATTATTATTGGTGATTACTTTTCATTAAAGCTTTGCGTTAATATTTTTGTTAATGTATGTCACTTTTAGTCAATGTATAATTTGTAATTATAGGCAAACATGGGGGCTGCTATATTAACTCATTACATATGCAGGCTCTGCTTCCTGCTACTCAATTGTTCTTTGCAACAACTTCTCACAATGCAAGACTGAATTTCAATTACTCTTTGGAAACAATGCATTCCCTGTGTGATTCCCTATATGATCAGCTGTTAGGTAGAGAGACTGTAGTAGCTAATCTACACTTCTATTATAGGCAAATCTACAGTGGTACCTCGGTTCACAAACTTAAAAGACAACTATGGGGTAAGTGTTTTTCCCCAAAGTTCTAAGGGTCAAGGGAGGACATATACTAGCGTCCTCCTGTGGCCCAAAGCTCAGTATATCGCGAGCTACAGCGTGTGGTATACTGAGACCGACGCAGCCGGGACGGATCCCGACATTACTGTTGAGATCCACCCAGCTGGGTGAGTGACAGCTGGCTCTGCCTATCTAGAGACAGAGCCAGCTGTACCCGCCTCCTCCCCCGTCCATTCCTCCAGTCAGCACTGGAGTATCGGAAAAGGGAGGGGGAAATCCCTGCAGTGAGCCATGACTGACAGTCACCGCTCTCTGCGGGGAGATGATCGAGAAGTGAGCAAGTGACGGTATGTGTTCGCTCACTTCCCGATCTATTGAGCCAACGTGTGACAGTTTCATTGTCACGCATCGGCTTGAACTCTGAGGCTGAGTGATTTTTCCCTCCCCTCCTTCAATTGGTTCCACGATTCTGGTCGCAAACTGAATTGGTCGCAAGCCAAATCAAATTTTCCCAGAAGGCTCAATGTAAATAAGGTTAATCCGTTCTGAACCATATGTACATTTTTTTTTTTTTTACCACAAAAATATGAAACAAAGTACAGTACAGTATTAAGAGAGTGAACACTAACCGCTGTGCACTTTTTGGAGCCATGCTGGATTGAATAATACTGTACAGTACTGTATTTGCTAAAAAGCAAACAAAAAAGCTTCACAGCAAGTGTGCACAGGTCTGTCTGCGACCGCGATCTCGACTAGAGGAGGCCACAACCACGTGTCAGAGCGGGGAAGATGGCTGCGGTCGAGTTCATCACCCAAATTGGAGTTGGTGAACAGAAGCGTTCCTGAACCGAGGTATTACTGTATTTAATCCAACAGAAATATCATTGCATGTTGTCATTGCAGTGGCACTGAATCGGGCCGTAAATGATAAAAGTTACGTTTGATTCCTTTTTAGAGGGTTTAAAGTGTAACTAACCTCAAAATGAAAAATGTTACATAATGCAACTTAACAGTCTTTAAATAAAGGCGACTGCATTGGTTTTATTTTTTTTAAGCCCTTTTCCTTTATTTAGCTGGCGATTCTCAGAGAAACACACTTCCTGTGTAAGGATGACAACACGCCCTTCTACATCAGGACAACATAAACAAGGACCATACCCTTCTATTGTCAATAACAGAGGGGTGTGGTTCTGTAGTCCTCAGACCTATGTCAGCACAAGAAGTTATGAGCTTAACCTCCCTGGCGGTATTCCCGAGTGTGGCTCGGGGTTAATTTTCAGTACCAAGAGCGGTAAAACACTCGGGATTACGCAAAAGTGTCGCTTACCTTGTCCCTGCGAGCCAGCGGTGTCCTCTGCTGTGTGCGCCTGGCCGATGCCGGCATTCAGTTTTGTTTTCGGGCATCACGGCGGGAGGCGGAGCCGGCGGGAAATTCAAAAGTGCAAACATAACATTTACACAGAATACACACGATACATATATGTCATTATAGCAGATTATCAAACTATTCACTTCAATTTTGTCCCTAGAGCTTTGTCCGGTGCCCTGCCTGACACTTTTACTGTACTCTATTGACTGTGGTACGGATCAGGCAGCGCCCCCCAGAATTCCCATTTACTGGACCATTTTTATTATTATATTATAATTATTTCTTATATTATAATTTCTTATAATTAATTATATTATAATTTATGATTTCGCGTTTCAAACTTTCTCATACCCGGGATGTCTACTGGACTCTTGTTTGGACAAATTTAGGTGAGTTATTCCTAAGATTTACTAAGAATTACAGGCCTACAATATAAAACAACAAATTGCCATGAAAAACAATGTACCGCTTTGGGATGCTAAAATCCCCCAAAATCATACTGCCCGGTAGGTAAAAGATATCTAGCCAGGTCATGTATCATTGTTGTAACTTAATAGAAAACAAAATGCTTTCAATGGTATATTTACTAGACCAAATAAAAGCTCATTAGTGTTGATACATTTTGGGGTTCATCTATAAAAGTTCTGTCTGATGTATAGCTGGATGGATGCGGTTTGCATGATCCTAGCGCCCCTATATGGTGCTGACTACTATAGGAAATGTATGCCACGTGCAACGTTTATAGATGAATCCCTTTAAGATTCAATCAGGATCTTCTCTCAGGGCTTTCTCACACTACACCGAGTGCATTCCGCCACGGTTAGTGGCCAGAACCCACTGGATCGCATAGAGCAAGCCACCCTGCGTTCTGGGGTGCGAGGGGGTATAGTGACGCCAAGTGGTATAGCAATGTCTGGCGTTCCTGTGCGATTGCAAAAAATAGTGCATGCACTATTTTTTTTGCAATCGAACCGGACCACGGGCATTGCACTTTGGGTGGGAGGTGTCTATGGTGCCATTGACATTAATGGCACCACCATGCCCCCTCCCCAGAATGCAAGGAGGCTTGCTCTATACAATCCAGTGCATACTCAGTACAAATACAGATACTTTTCCAGCTCCAAGACTAGACTAGAGAAAAACTCAAAAGTTCTGAGGCAGCTGTCATTTGTAAGGAGCACACGGAGCTCCTGGGATTTGTATCTCCATTTTAATGCATTATATTTTTTAAAATAAACATATATAAAGTGATGCACAGATACAATTTTTCCAAGTACGAGTACTGATACTTGCCCAAGTCCTCACAGATACAAGTACTGATACATTTTTGTTTATTGTCATGTGACAGTTTTTCTAAAACAATACGGACTTAGACCCGGTTCACACCTGGGCATTTTGTAGCGCGTTCGTACGCTCTGCAAAATGCTCAAACACCGAAAAACCCATTATTTCCTATCGGTATGGTTCACACCTGGGCGTATAACAGGCTGTATGCGCTACAAAATGCCCTACGCCCAAAGAAGTACAGGAGCTTCTTTGGGGCGTTTTTGTTGCGCGTATCCATTGGGATACAGCCAGGTAGCACCCGGAAACGCACGTTTGTCGCGCGGGTTTTTAACCGTGAATCGCGCAACAAAAACCGCACGACAAACGTGCATATTCAACACGCCTTGGTGTGAACCCTGCCTAATGATTTCAGGACAGTGGTGGAGCGCCAGAGCCAGGTCCCAGCTGCAACCCTGGTAGTTCCCGTAATAATGCCACCTATCGGCACTGGTATCTGGACATCCTAGTGGGCACCTCGTACCTGATCTTGGGCAGAGCTTTTACTTTTAAAGGTTTAAAATGACTGATGGGTTCACTTTAAACAAGTGTTTACATGTCTGTACATCCAAACAAGGGATCATAATGTAAAGGCTACACATACCTGCAATAAAATACAACCTGTTAAAGAAAAAGAAAATCACATCAAAAAGAGCACCTGTCACCATCATAGTTAGGTAGCAGCCATGTTTGTGAGCTAAAAAAAAAATATATGCATGAAAATTCGCTAGGAGTTAAAAAGGGTCAATTCATAGTGATTATTCATGATGATCTGCTTCCTGATGGATTAACAAGCAACCCCAAAAACATTCAGCTTACAATATGGCTGCCAGGAATCCTATTCAAACACATTAAAATCCCTAAAACTCAGAAACGCTATAAACCTTTTTTTTTGTTCAGTATTAGCAGTTACACTTCATTAATAAAGAAACGTCTTATTAATTGAAATGTAATTCCCATTAAAAAAATTCCAAAAATATCACATTTTCCATAAATATAACAAAAAACACAGAACGTCACTGTTTACGGATTAATTAAATTATTTGCTAAATGTAAAATGTTCAGTTCGTCAGTTACTGTACAAAAGCGGAAAAATCACAGGACGCAGGCTCGCGGTCTGCACGGTGCAGATCAGCAGAAGTGACCTTCCAAAGTTCCAGTTCCCCTTCCAAAAGGACAATAGTAGAAACCCCCTCACCCCCCCCCCCAAAAAAAAAAAAAAAGAAAAAACACAGGAGTTCTCCGCGTCGTTTTT